CTGAAACAAGTGACAAATCAAATTATCCTCCAGTTAAGTTTATATATTGCAAACAACGTTTGGCAGGACATTCGAATCACCAAAATTGTCTACCCAGGTGTTTTAAACTATCAGAAGCGATGCTGCATGGCCACTATGAAAGTCATATGATGCCAAAATATTTTGTATTCATCACAGTTGTGACTTGTGAAGCTTGAATGACTTTTTGAGCAAGTTGGAACATAAGCAGCAGCATGTTGGCCTCCACCAATAGAGTGCTTGAATAGTAATTTGTAAAACATATACTGCCATATGGTCCACATGACTTAACTTTGTTATTTCTGCCTTTTTAAATTCAATCAGGAGATTATTTATATATTTAACATGGATGCTTATTGATGACGTGAGAAGTGAACATAAAAAAGCTTCCTGAATGCTTTTGTGAATTGGATTGGTGTTGGCTTGGCAGTTTCCCCCTCTCAAATGTTTTAAAAAAGTTTTCTGGTGTATCTGTGTTTCACCTTTTGGTAAACATTTTACTGTGTAAAGTATTACGATTTAAATAATGGCATTAAGAGTAACTATAACTGGTTTTTGTCAGAATAAGTTCTGTTTGTGACATGATTACTTACAATAAAAATTTTAATTTACTGAATGAAGTTTATGGATTTTAGCTTAAATTAAATTTTCGAGCCCTTTGTTGCAATAATTTCTCTCTGCTGGTTGATCAATGCGGTGAATCAAACATAATTCTAATCATTTTTCACATACAATTGTTGGTCACAACTCACAAGTGAAGTTTAACCAGAGGTAAGCTGTAGGAGCTTGACAATATGTTTGACATAATGGTAAAGTTGTTAATTTAATTGTAACAATTTATCAATAACTTCATTCTTTAAAAAATTGTAATTTCATGTTTGTTTATTAAAAATAAGACAACAAAAAACATCTTTATTTGTAAGTTAATACAAATTTGACAGACATGATAACCACAGGAACTCAATATACAATTACAAATAAAAACTTTCAATTACAATTATGCAGACAAGCTACATTGGAAATAAAAAGCCCCGATTCAAGAATCAAATATAAATTCGTTTAGTCCAAATTTTATACCAATAATGTCTTCATCTGAAGAACGTTCTTTACGCACAGTAGGTCGTTTTATCGCTTCTATCAAATCCGTTGACCATTCTAATAGGAAACTCTTTACTAGAAAATACAGAAATGGAATCACACTAAATATATTTATTACTTTTGTCCTAAATTATAAGTTTTTAGGGCAACTGCCGTTCAATATAAGAGACGTTCTAAACATGGATCTCGTATACAATTCAAGGCAAGAAACTGTAAAACCCGTAAAATTATATTTGAAGAACGTATTTTACAACAAAACTGTTTCTCACCTCATATGCTTGGTATCCTATCCGATGGCATTAAAAATTTTGTCCATAAGTGAATGTAAATTCGGCAAATTTTCGAAAAACAACTCTTCATAATATTAATCTATATACATTCTGGCCAGTTTATCTGGCTGGAGTAATGGCGGACGTAAAAGATGCGCACTTGAGAACTGGGTACAAGTAGGGGACAGATTTTTCGCTGAGTGGCGCTTCTGTATGTATCTATTCTGTGCTAATAACACAACGACTAAAATAAACACTCGAATTTCATTAACGCAATCCATACACCCGAAACCATGACAACGCATCTTATACCATCCAATAATATCAACTCAACTACTAACCAACCAATCAGATGCTCCAAACGCCTACAAAATCTTTGTAAATAATATATTGTCACATTCTGACGAAGACTCGAAGCACCGAGTTTAAAGCTTAATAAAAATTTCAAAATATAAATCCAGAGAATAATTTATATTATCATAATATGCCTGGGTTACCAATTTTCAAATATATATATATATATATATTGTAACACGTAAACGTCAATGATAATGAAGATAGTTGTAAGCAAATCATTCAGTTGGCATTGTTAAGCGTTCATATATGATCGTGTTTCTGTGATCTTGTGCCTATATATATATGTGCTTATGGTGATAGCCGGGAGGGCACATTGTATATACACTTTGTATGTATAAATATATACGGGACGGGGCGGGTGGCTGAATGGTTAATTGCGTGAGCTGTAAGCCAGACGGCGCGGGTTCAATCCCGGCTCGTGACACATCTGGCAATGTGAGGGAAATTTGGTAGAGGAAACTATGTCCTCGGATGGACTGTATCTGCATCTGCAATGTTGCAGCCTTGTCACACTGTGTGTCACGCTGATATCAGGGTTGTAGTTGCGTGAAAGGTACGAGTGATTGTAGTCTGGTCAGCTGCCTTCACTATAATTTAAGTAAGCAGAATGTTCCACTTTGTGGAACCCTCATACGTCGAAATCGACGGAGTCCATTATTATTATTATATATATATACAAAGTTTATTACAATGTGCCCTATACATATATTGTACCATACCAGTTGCAATGTGATGCTTCTTTCGTGCACTTTGTCATGCTATCACTGGCAGAAAGATCTATCATCTATCATATTCAAGTTCTAGATTACAGGATAAGAATTGAGAAATTGTCATACTACGAGTCAATATATGTCTTTAAATGATAAACTACATAATGCCATATCAACGTTTACAACAGTCACATGGCATAAGAAGCATGCGATGTTGAGAATTGACGTTATCAACACGTTCATTGCATAATGTGTCATTATAAGAGGTTGATGAAATGGAAAAGCAGCTACCAAGACAATTTTACTAAAGAGAAAACTTAGCTAAAAAAGCAGTTGCTTTTGAGGATTGTATTGTAACACGTATAACCACAATGACCAGTTTATATACTCTGGTTTACAGTTTTAAGCGAATTAAATTGAGATAATAAAGCCATCCATTTGAGGATATTATATGTGTAGAAATTCCATCACATAAAATTTTGGTCTTAATTTCTTTAGTTTTGATAACATAATTTACGACATTGTGCAAGAATTGCTGATTTCCCTGTCTTTTTTTCCCTTATAAGGTCATAAAACACGACAGCTTTATCGCTTTATCAAAAAGATCTATGGAAGAAAAATTTCAAGAATTTGTAAAGGTCAATGATAATGAAGACAGTTGTAAGCAAACGATTCAGTTGGCATTGTTAAGCGCTCATATATTATCGTGTTTCTGTGATCTTGTGCCTATCCTCTAAATGATGAAAGCTACACCACTTGCAAAATGTTTGATGTTTGTTTTGTTTATGTTTTCGGCTAAATCCAAAGAAGACAACGTTGAACAAACTGTATGTATTCAATGCTAACGTTATTTAATAAACTATGCTACATATCACAATTTGTTCTCATACACCGTTACGTTTCAGGAAGAAGAAGTAATTTCATTGCCTAAATTCATCAAAAGTACCTAGAGTTCTAAAGTATCTTAATCCATATTTAGCATGTATAGGTCCATGTATGTTAGTTTGGTTGTTACCTTTGGTACAAAATATCTTTTTTGAAAAAACACCAAACACCTTATCTTCAAAACTAAAGTGTCTTCATTGTTACAATTCGTATAAGTGTGCGTATTCCTCTTTAAAATAAAATACACTACATCATTTGTTTATATGTTGGCTTTGAGACATTGACTAGTCGTAGAAATTTTTTTATCTCGTAAAATTACTACAAATGCAATCATTTCTTGCAATACGCTGGATTGAAATTTAAAATAAATGGTAAAAATCTTAAGAAATGCACCACTGGGAGATGGGTGTTCTCATTTACAGCTTTCGATTCTTAATGAATTTTTTACAGTACTATGTTTTTTTACGATGCATTATGTTTCATTAATAAAACTATTTCAAGTTTGAAATCATTCACTTTACGTAGTGATGAATAAGAAAGTTGTAAGATTATAGAGTGCTATTCTGCTCTATTTATTTCAACGCCTTTAGAAATGTTACAAATTTGGGCAACCGTCTCAGCCCAAGCAATCACCGTCATAAAAGAACCCCGCCAATTTAACTAGAATACTTCCCCCTAAAATTAGGTGCAAGATTGTTCCTTTCAGCAATATACTTGCATAAGGAAGATAACAACATCGATAATTGTAACGAATGTTTGGATTCATGCATGCGAAATAAATACTATTTTTTAAATATATACCGAGCAGAATTGTATACATGAATCAGAAACGGATATACCAAAGTATAATCTATATAATTCAAGCCACAAAAGGTTTTTAGGTATATAATTTTCTTAATTGCATCAGTTGTTTAGAAACGCAAAACACAAGCGTAAAACACAAATGCGAATGTCCTATTCGTCTGGATGAGATTCTGCTTATAGAATCAGACTACCAAAATATATTACATTGGACACTACAATATTATTAACAAAAACTTGTTGAAACTGAAAATTGACTACTAGATATTAAATATTACAATACTAAAAAGTCCTCTGCAATATATATAATTCATAAATAGCAAAATATTTGAACAAAAACGCGCACAAAATTTCTCCAACATTTACAATTTTTTGTTTTGTACGGTGCCTAGATCTGTTATTGTCCGTTATGTAATTGTCCTGCGATTTCAATCAAATTTTTATGTTTAAATATCTCGTAAAAACACTATGGAGCTGCTGCAGACAAAAGGAACTATAAGGAAGTCAAACACAGAGAAAGGAATCAAATATGTAAATATTATAAATTGTAAGGCTGTTTAATCTCGATTCTTGTTTGTCTAGTGCGATGTTTTCCAGGTAAGACGTCACAATTTAAATGATTTTTAAAAGAGGCAGGAATATGAGAAGATTTATGTTGCGCACCCGTGTTATTATTTCATAGAACTTGAACTGTTGTTTCTGTCAAAGCCTTTTTATAGTTTGGTGACGAGCGTTTAAGCTTTTACTCTTTAGTATTGTCAGCTTTAATTCAACTAACAATTTTTAAATGCTTTCATCGTAAAAGCTTATATGTATTCACTGTTCAGCTCCTTCGACGGATTATGGATATGTACACTTAATAATGCTAGAGCAAATGTTTCATGTAATAAAAGCATCAGCTGTATCTCGTTTGGCAAATAACATAAGAAACGTGATTGGTAGTCACAGTGCCGTATTTAGTCTAGTACGTTTATTGTACGCATTCTTTATCTTAAACAGCTCTTTTAAGAACTATTACGTTACTGCGCATTTAATGAATACGACGAGTTTTTTAAAAAAGACATGTTTCAACATCTCATGACGAAATCTTTAGTGTAATAAAAAATGTTATTTAAGAAATAAAAATGTTTACTGTGTTTGCACCATTGAACTAAATAGATGGAAGGCTACCTCAGTCGATATTTTGAAGCCAGTAGAGCCCAGTCTTTCCACGCAATTGTAAACACACGGCCGATAGACAAAAGCGTAAAATAGCTTGAGGAAACTACGAAGCTTCAAAAACAAGACGCAAATTTTTTTGTTTTGATTTGGCAAACAAAAATTTCACAAATGAGACTTAACACCACGTATACACAATTTTTTGACAATTACATTTTTGTAAAGGAGGCCATAGCCAAGCATAACTAGAACGCATTTTGCTGTTATTGTTTGTTTTGGCATGTCTGCAAATGTGCCAAAACCATAGCGTTTTGTTTCAAAGTAGCATAAAAATGCACATATAATTCTAAACATACATCAGTTTGTGAATGTATTTTCACCCAAAACAATTGTTATCAATGTTTTTCTGTGGAAGTAGAATTTTACAGAAAAAAACAATTTTTAGTTCAAACTTACACGAGATTTGGTTTTAAAAGATAAATTAGATAATATATGATAATACTCGTCACATCCTCCCAAACTAAAGGCTTCTGTAAATATGTGAACGTACAAATATTTCATGGAGAAGCATGTATATTATTGAATACATCCAGTTGAATCTTTTCAAAATAAACAAGTACTTGCTGCAAAGTTTCCGATTTGTATAAATTGAACGATGAACGATGTCATTGTTTTCACAGTTTCCACACTTTGATAATTTCCATTTCGAAATATGTATTCAATAGGAAGCATCATAATTGGCTGAATAGAGATTAAGCCCTATCACCTTCAATGCCACAATACTTTTCTGCTCAAAGTTGGCTTTAAAAAATTAATAGGCTTTTCTATTACAGGTAGCCTTCCATCTATAATAGTTCAATGGATTACACAGGCTTATGCAAGCCGTGGAGACCTTCGGGAGAACTCGAGAGCAGATCAATGCAAGCCCGAGACCAAAGGTCGAGGGTTGCTCCTGCTCGAGAGTTATCATTAACTTATCTTAAAGAACATTAACTTCTAAGTTTTATTTATTCGTCGAGACGAAAGTAACACTGCATGCAATTCTAGTGTCATGTACATCTATTATTTACTGAGTTCCAGCTTAAAATATATAAATCATGGCCATCTATTTTTTTGAAAATGGAAGCGTAATGCTTCTTAGTAGCTAAATTTTGCTGGCGCTAAGCTCTCAAATGCACACAGAGTTTTCCGTTTTCCATCAAAAATTCGTATCACATTGACACGATGATTTTAAAGATAGCACAGCTTACGACACGAAAAGCACACTCATAGATGACATAGTTAAAAAATGTAAGTTACAATATGCAGTATGCCTAGAGGTTTGTAAAATATGTTTTATTTGAAAATGAAAAATAACTGACGATCATAAAAACATGCAGTTCGTAATTCTGTGATTGAAGACATACGGATTATCTATCTTTTTTTCAAAACAGGTTTTTAAGTTTTCCTTCATTTCTTATGTAAACAGCGTCCTTCGCAATAATGTATGTTACTCTAGGTACTTATTTCAACTTTTGGACTATTCTACACTCTCACTCAAATTTAACCTATCATTAGTCATAATCATGAACGTTAACCAGCGGACGTAGACAAGTGTCCATGAGAAGGTCAAAATCAAATTCATTTAAGTCGAAAAATATTAATTGACAACGAGTAATAATTAAGTACCATTCATATTTAACTGTACATCTTTAACAACATTTAAGAGACTTAATTATGTTCATTAATTAATTTTTGTCAGAAAACACGACTACCTAGAGTTCTTCCCAAAAAATCAAATGTTTGTAAAACCAGTTGTGTTGCGCCTTGTGTACCTGGAGTTCCTGGTGTACCTGGAGTTCCAGGTCATAATGGTATGCCAGCAGCCAAAGGAGACAGTGGAAGTGATGGAAAGCCGGGAAAGATAGGTCCATCAGGGCCAAAAGGGGACAAAGGAATCCAAGGTGGTATGGGAAGGACTGGTGTTAAGGGTGAAAAGGGGGAAGCTGGTGTACAAGGCCATGTGGGAGTTAATAATGAATCCAACTGGAAGCAATGCTCTTGGAAGAAGGACGATAATCGAGATAATGGACTTATAAAGGTAAATAATCACTACAAATTTTGTTGAAATAATTAGTTCATGATCAAAGATATTCTTGATTTTGCAGGTATCATTATACATAATTAATTATTAGTAATAATTTAGGCAGTGACAGTTCAATTTTATATTGTGCTATAATGGTGACATGTTTCGTTGTGTTTAAGAAGGAAAAAGGAAAAAAATATATCTTCATAAATAAAAGATAAGGCTTTGTATTTTTATTTGAAATTTTTTTATATGTATGTCAAATACATTTCAAAAAATCGTTGTTGATTGTAATGTCACATTTTATTCAACTTAGTTCTGTTATTTCTTTTTGTTGTAGCACACATTAATAAAAAATCAACAACATGTACAAGTTGATAAAGTTCGAAATCTTTCTATTAAATATTGAAATTTGTGAACATAACTCCTACTCCTCTCTGGTAGAAGACTTTATTCCAGATTAACAATCTCTAAATTTTAGATTTTTGAAGTGAAAGACAAAAACCTTAAAACATTTTGGGAACTATATTATAGGCACTTTATTAATACTGGCTTGGCAAAACTGAAAGTAAAAGCAAATGATGTACAGAGATAACAAAATTTGTTACACTTCAAAAGTCAATTTTCTTTTATACGATAATATGTTTTGTGTTGTTCTTGTACGCATTGGTTTAGCAAAAATCATTACAGTTCTACATGTAAAACTCAATTCGATTACGTTTTTGATTGAATTTTGTCTTAATCAAACCAGTAACCAATCTAGAGTAGCCACGTGAGTGTGAACACATTACGTGAAGCCAGAGGCCACGTAAGATTGATAATTGGGGGCCGAGGCAAATATTCATATATGCATGTTCTACCTTAATAGCTTCTATTGAAATCAATTTTGGTTATGGATTAACAAGATTAAAACATATGAATATATAAATTTTGCCCCAATTACCAATCTTGTGCGTCCTTAAGAAGCAGCTTGTTGTTTTTTTTTCATATATATATATATATAGCAATTTTAACAACACTGTTCGTTTTAATTTTCATAAAACATTTTAGAACACAAATTTAACGAGTATGAAGGCTTTTCATTTGCCTTGAATTTCAACATAATTGCTGCAATGTAATCTGACGTACCCTAGCTGCATTTGGAATGTGTCATTTTATCACTAAATCTCTTTTGATGTTCGTTCAGTTTTAGGCAAGATAGAAACAAAAATAAATTATATCCCTTTTCCATTTGTGTATGGCATACAAAAAAAAACCATTCATAATATGGGTATAATTAAGTTATGTGTTGTGACCAGGGATATACCAAGCGGGAAGCAAATTCTTGTTATAAATATTAAAGCCCAGCAAAGTGCTTTTAAGCACTTTGAAGACTCTTAAGACGAAACGTTACGCTACTAAATAAATATTTCTTTTTATACGTCATTTTTGTATTGAATGGCTCTTTTAGAAGCACTTTGCTGGGCTTGAACATTTATAACAAGAATAAGTTATGTGTTATTGAATTGTGTTTTTCATCAATCATTTCAAATTTCTAAGTGATGTTATATTACACATATTTCTTTTTTATAGCAAATATTTCTCCTTTTTAAAATAGCCAATTTCTACTATAAAATAGATGCAATATGTTGTCACTCATACCTGATGTATATTACTGTGTTATTTTGCTTTTCTAGATATGCAGTTTTAAGAAAAAACGTGACAATACTTATCTTCGTGTGTTCTACGCCGGCAGCCTCCGTATTTACAACTGCAACGCGTGTTGCAAGCGATGGTATTTTAAATTCAACGGAAAAGAATGTAATCCTACAATTGAAGGTGTTTATTTCATATGGAAAGGTAGAGGTACACAGAATATCCATCGTCATCGTCATATAGAGGGATATTGTGGTAACATCGATAAGGGTACTGTTAATGTTGGTTTCTATGTTGGTAATTGTCAAAGATATTCCAATGCAGACGCCTACAGTGGATGGAATTCAGAGTCTCGAATTGTGATTCAAGAAGTTCCAGCACCACAGGCTTAATTCAAACCAAGCTGAATCTGAATTGTTGTTGAATATGCTATACTTATCATAATTGTTGCTAAGATTTTTATAAACATACAGCTCTTTTCAGTGTGGTCTTTTTGTTGTCTATGTCACTATTTTTATTCTTTATTCTCAAATAGATTTTGAATAAATAGTACAAATACAGAATTTGTATAACTTTTTTGGTTTTTTAGTTATCTTTCGGCAAAGATGCGAATTAAACCTGAATTTCAACATTTTGTAAAAAATGTCGAGAGCTCTAATCCGTGGCATGGGACTTACTTGTGACGTCATTTAAGGACACAGACTGACTACCAAAACAACTTACACTGTTTATACATGTAAACAAACACAAAAATGCTAGATCGATGTGTAGTTTTTGGTTGTTCTAACGTAGCCAATTCGGAGAAAGGCATTTTTTAACGAAGAAAGAAGCGAAGCTAAGCGTAGGAGAAAGCGATGGGTCAACTTTGTGAAAGCTACTCGCGATAAGTGGGTCCTCACGAAGAATTCCTCAGTTTGCTCGGAACTCTTCACAAAAGGTTTGTTTCTCGGCAATTCGGCTCGCTTTCTGAATCAGAAAGTAATTTTGCACCTCGACTCGTTCGAGACGAATTCGGAATCGTTGCTTACCCGAGCATTTATCCTCGAAAAGATGACAATGAACTTACAACAAGAGATCGCAGAATGGTGAGTACGTTAAAAATTATACATATGCATATCTACATTTTACCTGGAATCTGTGTGAGAGTATATTTCATAAATATATGTCATTTTAGATGAAAAGAAAATGGATGTCTGATTATAAAAGAGAGGTTGAATCAGAAAATATTCCCAGTACAAGTAGCGAACCCTCAAGAGCAAATAAAAGAAACAACTTGTGATTGAGCCTGTATTAGAGAAGGTAAACTTATATGATCATTACGCCAATGCTGTAAGGGTTAATGTAAATTATTGTTTTGTATATGCATTGCTGTTGTTTCTAATTTAAAAAGTAGCTGTGCAATGTGAATTACAATGCCAAAATTATTTAAAACTTGAAAAAGAGAAACGTCGTTACAGGAACTTATGGCTTGTTGCAAAGCATAAGCTTCAGTGTAGCAGAACTTATGCAAGCAGTTCAAATATGGATATGCTTGTAGTGGGTAAGTGTTTTTTAAGATGATGCTGCTGTTAATTTTATTTCATGTATGATTCTAGGTCAAGAGAAGATTTGCCAACGTAATAAGATCAGCCATGTTTAATAACCTCAATTTCTACAACACTACCAAGTAAGCTAGCATGCACCCCTGGAAAATTATTGAAGTTAATTACTAAGAAATATGGACTTAATCAACCTTGTGTAGCTGTGCATTACTGAAGTATCGTATTTCATAGATGAGTATGACAACAACAGCAGCAATGAAGAATCATCAAATAGTAGCAAAGTGGTTGATCTTGATAGTTGTCCTGCTGAGGAGGTTTTGGACCCAAATAATCTTAGTGGTGACTCAGACTCAGAGAGTGATCTTGGTGCTGAACAAAGTTATGAGACAGAGACAGAAGAGATAATCACATCTAGTGAGAAGGATGTCGACTCGGAATCAGAGCAGCCAAGAACATTTAAAAGGTAACAATTTTTGGATGAGAACTGTAATTTATCAATCACCATGGCAATGTTAAAATAGTCGTGATTGTTAAATAAATCAAAGTTAAACAGCTTATTTAATCAATCACTACCTTGATGACACAAAAAGTGTGTGCCAGTATGTAATTGTATTTATTGATAGCTACTATTGCATTTCATACAGCACATGGGATTGGGATGCATTTCATTGAGTACGTACTTCTCTCACCAGCGTGTATGTAAGACTTATCTGATAGTGTAAAAGAAAGATGTAAAGAAATTACTACAATCAAATGAAAAGCTTGAAAGTCTTTTTAAAATTTTGTGTAGGAAAAACTATATCCTGCATTGGTAATCTTCTGGAAAAAATACCAAGACTGTTTGATAGAGAAAGTGATGGCATGTAAACAGCCTATTGCAATTGCTGGGGATGGAAGACACGATTCCATGGGACATTGTACTAAATATTGTGCATATACAACAGTCTGTAGCACAGTACATCAAATCATTAGTTTTTCACTTGTGCAGGTACATTTCTTTGAATTATGTGATTTTCTTCTTTAAAACTATTTACCTATTTGCTATTTTGTAGAGAAATGAAGTTGGAAATAGCACTGGTATGGAGTTTGGGGGATTTAAAAGATCAATGGATTTTCTTAAACCTTGCAATATTCCAATCTCCATGTTAATCACTGACAGGCACACACAAATTGCCAAACATATGAGAGAGTATTACCCACTACTTTGACCTTTGGCATTTGACAAAAAGTAATGATTTTTTTTTAGTTAATAAAACAGTACTTTATGAAGCAAAAATTTAACATATATCTAGTATACAATTTACTACCTAGACTGGCATCAATAATTGAAGTGTTTATCTAAAACATATTTTATATTTCATCTTAGAAGTGACCAAAGTCCTGACCAAACTTGCAGCATGTGCTGGATGTGAGTCTTTATCAAGCTGTATAAGACCTTATTCCAACCATTTGTACTGGAGTGCTATATCAACATCCTCTGGTAATGGAAATATGATTGTGGCTAAGTATCTTTCCTTGGTCATGTCAAAAACCAACACAATGGATTTTCAGACCCTTTATTTGACAAATGTGCTCAGGATTCCAACATAAAACCATGCAAATGGCTATATGAAGGTAAAAAATCTTAAACAACTCTTGTTGCTATTAAAAAGAAATATTCTGTGTGTAATAATCTCTTATTCATTGCCTTGTCTTTAGATTCTCTATCATACAATAAGATGTGTACAGCTTTAACTGGAGTTTCCCAGGTTAAAGTGCATTATCCAAAATTTAAAAATGGTGAAGCTGTTGTAAGAAATGTAAAAGTTGCTCAGGATTTTGGTAAGGTTATTTAATATATTTCTCCTACTGCCTGATATCATGTGTTGAATGCCATAATAGTCAAAGCCATAGTAAAAATGATTACCATAAAATAAAATTTTAAATTATTTGCACATTGCTCCTCCAGGGTATGTTGAAGATATATATTAAGTGTTGTGCTCTGCACTCATTAATGAGGAAACATTGAAAAAAGCCAAAGGTGATCTATTACGAATGACTCCATTGCCAATGAATTCCATGTTGGACAAGCAATCAAAAAGTGAAGCTATCTCAAAAAAAGCAAGAAGACAAAGCCCGCCAGCTGTACATGTTCCCCCAACTAAGCCAGGTTTTACAAGTCTTGGTTTGAGTTAATTTGAATCTTGTTTTTGGAACTGACTCACTTTATTGTTTCATATAGCTGAAGTATCACCTGCCCAAGAAAAAATCACTGATCAGAGAAATGAGAGGGCAGCACCTCGATGCACTGTGTGCAAGATTTGGATGAAAGGCCATAAAAATATAATTAACTGTCCAAAAAACCAAAAGTAACCACTTTTTTAAGAGCTGGTGGTATGAGCCCAGTTAGTTGGGATTCAGTGAAGTGTAAAATGACTGCATGGAAAGAATAAAAAGAAAAGGAATTGTAATTTTTATGTTTTGTATAACAAGAATAAGTGTGAATCAAAGATGCAATACATCAACAGTGGCTAAAATCATTCCAAAATTCACTGAATCCCTACTAGCTGGGCTCATGCACACAACACCTAAAATGATATATAATGTTATGTTATTTTACAAATTGTCCTCTTCATACCCTGCAAAGTGTTCATTTTTATTTTAAATAAAAAGTTGTTCGAATAACATGGTAAGCACAAGCTGGAATTCTTTTGTCTCAAAAAATGCAATGTACCATTCTTGTAAATTGTCTATGCAACAACTTGAAAAACCCGGAAAAGGCATAATACACAGGGTCCATTAAAACAGGTAGGAGTCCATAAAATACAAATTTTGCAAGTGTGCATTCATAGATAACCCAGACAGAAGCTTTTAACGGTTACTTCTAACAAACCTTTGCTCCAAGAATCATTTACGATATCTAACTGCATCCCGTCTTTGGTAAAGATTGGCAGCTAAATTTAATGCCCATGGATTGAGGCAAATGGCATCAAATCCTGGATGCTCTGTGATGCATTTTGGCTGCCTTCCTAACTCGCATAACACGACAGTTACCACAATTGCACCTCAGAAACTTATCTGTCAAAAGCTTCGGCTACAATAAATAAACAAATTTTCCAACTTTTCTTACCAAGAATCAAAAGGAACTTCATTTTTCATTCTGCGTTCGAGCTCTTCTGTTTGGCGTCTTTCTTCTTCTGTCTCTCTAATATAGTTTTCTAACCACTCTTGATCTGCAAGTGGTTCGTTTTCATACGCTGCAATTTGGCATGACTCAAAATCCCCATCGGTGTTTCGGAGCGCATTTGACGACGATTGATCTTCGTCTTCTAAATCGAATTCCCGACTGTTCAATTCAATATTTTCTGCTGTTGTTGCCGTGCTCGACTCAGAATCGGATGTCGACATGTTTCGTAGAATTTTTATGTTAATTTTAAAGCAATATATAAAGAATTTTATTTCACACTGTGTTGTTTTGTGTGCGGTGCATTCATACGTTCCGTAAATGACGTCACAAACCTCTCGTCTTAAGTCCCTCGAGGCGCGGAAATTTCTCGAAAGCAAGCTAATTTAAACCGCAAAACCACTTCGTTTTATTTTTTACGAAATTTTCTTCGAAATCATATTTTCCATAGTCTAAACTTTACAATTCAACGAATTTGGAAAGGCTGCATGTGCACTTTAAATGCTCATCACACTTTAAGCAGTCATTCATATGTCTGGTTCTGTATTCATATGTCTGGTTCTGTATTCATATGTCTGGTTCATACGTCATCGTATTATGTGTACAGGAAAAGTGTGAGTGTCAACCGTGTATTGTCTTTGTTGTAAGTCTAGAGTGATACAAAGCATATGTATGCTATATATTTCCCTAAACCATTTATGAAACTCATAATAGTTAAAAAACATTTCTGCGAGAACTTCCATTTCTTCATTTGTTGAAAGAAGTTTCATAAATTTACTTAAAGAATGTACGTACTATCATAGTCATTCATATAAATCTTATGATTTTTAAAACAACTTGAGGCGATAAGCCAAATCTATGAACGGTTATTCTGGGGCATCATTCGTCAAATAGTTAAGATGTCTGAGTCTTTAAGATTTAAGATTTATAAGATTTAAGAGATTTAAGATTTAAGAGTACATGCTAATTTGTTAAGAGCATTAACAGTACTTAATTCTCATTCTGCTTAATGTATCCTCAGCATGTGCATGTGGCTGCAAAAGTTTGCTAAGGTTCAGATTGCTTTTTCAGAAGAATCGAAACTTCTACTTCCTTTATTTGGTTAAAAATATTGCACTTAGCAAAAGGTCATCAATAGATGGATAAAAGATTGAAAACCGTTGTTGCTAGCAAAATTGAAATCAATTCGTTTCTTTCCTAGCATCAGTTGAGTGCGTTGATGGCAACGAATGTGTGAAGTTGGGCTTAATTCTCTGGCATTAAATATTAAGTGAGAAGGTATATAAGGAATTACTTCACTCAAAATAAGCGATTGAAGAAAAAGAGATTTCTGTTCACAATACAAACGATTTGTTGATCTATGGTTTGTTGTTGGTATGTGCGTCGTATTGTAGACCTTAAAGCTAAATCAAAATAAAAACGGCTCCAATTACGAGTTTATCAAGCCTATGTAGTGTGGAAGATGCTTTAATGAAATTTTTAAAAATATCTGGAATGTTTTACCTACAACATCTTTGTTCAGTCACTCAAAAATATTCCACATTTTCCAAGTCATTAAAATGACTTTATTTCTCATAGAAATTTGATTAATTAAAATTCAGTGATGTTTGAAAAAGCTCTCGTTCCAGGCACTTACATACAAATAAATTCCATCCAGCCTATCGATTGGTTGAATTTTATTCTTTAGAAATTTATTAACCAATGATGTTCATATAGAAATATTAAAATTTTAAATTAGCGGCCAAAATTTATTTTGCCTCAGCTGGGATCTGCTACTTGTTCATTATTTGGTTTAAGTTGAAGGCAAACAGTGCTACGTACAAGTTCTTTAAAATTCTTCTGTGGTCCACTTCTCCTTAGGGTTAAAACGACATTTAATTTCAACTAAATGATGAAAGTTGCTGCACCAGTTACGCTATTATGGGTCATGGCTTTGTGCGTGTATTTGGCTGAATCTAATGAAGAAATTCAAGATGAAACTGTACGTATTCAATACTAACACTAGTAGGTTATGGTGTGTTTTTTAATTTGCAAATCATAAACAGAATAACAGTCAACTAAGTATATAACTTCAAAACTAAAGTGTCTTGATTGTTAAAATTCGTGTAAGTGTGCACGTATTCTTCTTTAAAATAAAATACTCTACATTTGTTTATGTGTTGGCTTTGAGACATTGACTAGTTGTAGAAATTTTTTATTATCTCGTAAAATTACTACAAATGCAATCTTTTCTTGCAATACGCTGGATTGAAATTTAAAATAATTGGTAAAAATTGTAAGAGATGCACCACTGGGAGTTGGGTGTTCTCGTTTACAGCTTTCGATTCTCAATGTATTTTTTACAATACTGTATTTTTTTACGATGCACTATGTTTCATTCATAAAACTATTTCAAGTTTGAAATCATTCACTTTTCGTAGTCGTGAATGAGAAAGTTGTAAGATTACAGAGTGCTATTCTGCTCTAATTAATTCAACGCCTTTAGAAATGTTACAAATTTGGGCAACCGTCTCAGCACAAACAATAACGTCATAAAAGGCCCCGCCAATTTAACTAGCGTACTTCCGCCTAAAATTAGGTGCATGATTATTCCTTTCAGCAATATACTTGCATAAAGAAGATAACAACATCGATAATTGTAACGAATGTTTGGATTCTTGCATGAAAAATAAATCCAATTTTTAAATATATACAGAGAAGAATTGTATACATGAATCAGAAACGGATATACCAAAGTATAATCTGTATAATTCAAACCACAAAGATTTTTAGGTATATAATTGCTTTAATCGAATCAGTGCGATCGTCCTATTCATCTGGATGAGACTCTGCTCACAGAATCAGACTACCAAAATATATTACACTGGACTCTGCAATATTATTAACAAAAACTTGTTGAAACTGAAAATTGACTAGTAGATATTATATATTTCAATAGTAAAAACTCCTCTATAATATATATAATTCATAAATCGCAAAATATTTCAACAAAAACTCGCACAAAATTTCTTCAACATTTACAAATTTTTGTTTTATACGGCGCCTAGATCTGTTATTGTCCGTTATGTAATAGTCCTCCGACTTCAATGAAATATTTATGTTTAAATGTCTCGTAAAAACACTATGGAGCTGCTGCAGACAAAAGGAACTATAAAGAAGTCAACCACCGAGAAAGGAATCATATATGTAAATATTATAAATTGTAAGGCTGTTTATTCTCGATTTTTGTTTGTCCAGTGAGATGTTTTCCAGGTAAGACGTCACAATTTATAAGATTTTTAAAAAGAGGCAGGGAATATGAGAAGATTTATGTTGCGCACTCGTCTTATTATTGCATCGAACTTAAACTGCTGTTTCTGTTAAAGCCTTTTTATAGTTCGGTGACGAGCGTTTAAACTTTTACTCTTTAGTAACGTCAGCTTTAATGCAACTAACATACTTTAAATGCTTTCGTCGTAAAAGCTAATTTGTATTCACTGTTCAGCACCTTCGACGTATTATGGATATGTACACTTAATAATGCTAGAGCAAATGTTTCATGTAATAAAAGCATCAACTGTATCTCGTTTGGCGAATAACACAAGAAACGTGATTGATAGTCACGATGCCGTATTTAATCCAGTACGTTTATTGTACGCATTGTTTATCTTAAACAGCTCTTTTAAGAACTATTATGTTTTGCGCATTTAATGAATACGACGAGTTTTTTAAAATAGAAATGTTTCAACATCTCATGATGAAATCTTCAGTGTAATAAAGAATGTTATTTAAGAAATAAAATATGTTTACTGTGTTTGCAGCATCGAACTATATAGATGGTAGGCTACCTCAGTCGATATTTTGACGCCAGTAGAGCCCAGTCTTTCCACGCATTTGTAAACACACGACCGATAGACAGAAGCGTAAAATAACTTGAACAAACTACGAAGCTTCAAAAACAAAACGCAAATTCTCTTTTGTCTTAATTTGGCAAACAAAAAGTTCACAAATGAGACTTAACACCACGTATACACAATTTCTTGACAATTTCATTTTTGTAAAGGAGGCCATAGCCAACCATAACTAGAAGGCATTTTTCTGTTATTGTTTGTTTTGGTATGTCTGCGAATGTGCCAAAAACCATAGCGTTTTTGTTTCAAAGTAGCATAGAAAGGCATATAAAATTCTTAACAAACATCAGTTTTGTAAATGTATTTTCACCCAAAACAATTGTGATCAATGTTTTTCTGTGGAAGTACAATTTTACAGAAAAACACAATTTTTATTTCAATTTTACACGAGATTTGGTTTTAAAAGATAAATTAGATAATAAATGATAATACTCGTCACATCCCCCCAAACTAAAGGCTTCTGTAAGTATGTGAATGTACAAATATTTCATGGAGAAGCATGTATATTATTGAATACATCCAGTTGAATCTTTTCAAAATAAACAAGTACTTGCTGCAATGTTTCCAATTTGTATAAATTGAACGATCAACGATATGATTGTTTTTCACAG